AGGGAAGCTTAAGGTGTGCTAACACTTGCTCAAGGTGTACAACCAGGCTAGTGGAGGGAAGGAAGCGCCTTACATCTCCATTCTAGACCGCCTCCAAGTCAAGTCTAGCCACTGCCCTTGAACACTCACTCACTCACGATCAATTTATGTACAATTCCTGTTATTATCCCAATTTAATTGTATTCCTCCTCTGGCTCATCTTCTGAAGAAATAATATATATAATAAATGCATACCCATGCAGTGCAGTCTGAGTTGTGTGTTAGGACGAAATCATAAGAAACCTGCAATGGATGACAACACTATGATACCCGATGGCTAAGGTGTGGCAAGTCGGATCTCAAAATTTCATATTTCAAGGAAAGCAACTTTTTTCGATTTAACCACACAATGCTGTTGGCAGGGAAACACAAGTATGTTTTGATTCTGTAATGGAGACTTGACTACTGGCATACTTGATTTGACTTGCACAGCCAGAACATACCAACAACACTTTTATGCCACAACCCAAACCTTTGCTGTCCACTTGAATAGGGATAAGCTCTCCTACAAGAAAAGGAACAAATTGAAAATATGGTTCATATGTATGTTTTTTGCACAATACGTTTCACAAATATACAACAACATCTGCATTTATAATGTCAAGAAAAATAATTAATAAATAAAACGTAGCATAAACAGTGAATTACAATAAATTGTAGAGTGCATTTAGTCAAACTGTGAAAACCCAGTTAACTAAATAACTACATAGGTGACTTCAAATAAATTAGTAAGAGCGTGCCAAAGTAACTGTCAAGAAAATGAGATGGAGCTGTTTTTAAACTAGTGAAATGCACTGTTATTGTACCCTCCAACCTTCAGTTTAACAGTTTTTAAATGGTCAAATAATCTGGATCTGTTCTTTCTGAAGCTCTTGGAAAATGTAAGCAAATCAATAGAATTACCTTTTAGCTGGTCTAAAGGCTTGATGAGGCAGTGGGGCTTTTTCAGGCGAACTGAAACAGTCGTCACTACTGGCAACGCCAGCATCGTATTCACTTTCAAGTTGAACATTCATGTTTTGGGGAAGACGAGAGGACACTCCAATGCCTCAAGCTTCGTTCGAAGCCTTGCTGTCTCGCCGATCCTTGGTGGACATTTCGCCTTTTGAAGTAACTGAAAAACTATTTCACTCACTATATAAAAGAAAAAACTATAGACTATATAAACTATATAAACGTTGATAAAAATTATTATGTATTGCTCTTTTGCTTTTGTATTTATATTTAAACAGCTCGATCAATGCATGAATATGGTTTCATGTTACTCCAGTCAATGCGCATGCGTTCATGCCGCTGCTAGGTATTACGTCATTTGTTTTGGCCAGTCGGACACGTTTGCGCTGAATATCATGTGTTCGACTGTTTTTCGAGGTTTTCCGATAGTTTTTGGGATCTAATCGATATAACTTCGATGGAAATACAATGCGGTTCTATTGCAACACAACATGGCGGCTTGATATCCATTTTGGAGTGATAATACTCGACTAAAACAATGGATTAATTCAAATTTAACTCTTGTTGCTCACTCAAAATGGACTAACTTTCGTTCTTTTTGATATTTTTGCTAGATATTTGGTAAAGATTTATAACATTTATCGTATGTTAAGAATTAAAGAAGCCGGAGCTGTATATCTAATCCCTAGAATTTTACTGTCCATTTTGCCGATCTTCAAAAAGCAATATAATAAACAAGCAATATCTAGTTAATAGATATCTAGTTAATACAGCCTAAGGAATTTTGGATATTGGCTGAAGTGTTGATAATGTTGGCCAAATCCATAGCTGTAAAAACCAACAAGGGTAGCCAGCAGCATTTATATAGCAACACAGATGTGAGAACCATGCGAACGGCTGCTTGAGTTCGATGTGCTGGTAAGTTTCTTTGTATTTCAGCAAGGGTAGCCAGCAACATGAATATGGCAACGCAGACGCGAGAACCATGCAAACAGCTGCTGGAGTTCGATATGCTGGTAAGTTTTGCTGTTTTTCGCTTAGATGGTTTTGGTGTCTTTTGTTTTTGTCAACCATCTTGYTGTCAGAATACTAAGAACAAATGTTACAAAAAATGGAATAAAAATAGTAAGACTTTCAAATAAAATAACAGGAAATCATCTTTCCATAAAGGACATGTACATGTCCGCCCTACCTGGGAATTTCCATATGAAGGACAGGGCTTGTCATCGGAATCAACCAGGAGATATCATTCTTTGTATTGTTACTTGCATTGCTTGTAAAACGAGGAAAGGTCTTGAGGACCTTCTTCTACAATATGTCCACGTTTTAATAAAACCATGATTCTCCCAGTTCTTGTTGGATGAAAAGGAAACCKTATTAAACCTCATCAAAATGAGTAACTTTTGGTTCAGCCAAGCAAGACTTTTTCGGCAGAGCACTGCAGGAAACCTTAGCCCTTTCATTGTTCGATTTCCTCTATTAATGCWAAAATTCTCAAAAACATTGGCCATGATAATCGCCTAAATTCTGACACTGAAGAGTGTGAAAGACCTATTGAGTATGCTCATAATCAGGTGCAGAGACAGAACTTCCAGTCAACGTGCTGAAAAAAAATCTGAGCTGAAACAAGATGTAACTATTCATGCTAGCATTGGGATCTAAATATTCATAAGGATAAATGCCCTTGTGCGAGAGGTGCGGAACCTTGTCCTCCTCCACATACYGCACATACCAGTGCCTTCCAAGAAAGCTAAAAAAAATCGTGCAAACAGTAGACAGTAATATAATTCTCCGTTCTGTCTGGTTAAACTACCCATTATTCTGCTAAAATTTCTGAGACGATAATGTCTCTTCATATGAATATAGCAGTAAATTAATATGTTTTCCTTTTTTTTTTGAAAAGTGGGAACAGTTCATTGTCCTTGAAACCAAAGAGATTGATGCTGATGTTGTTCTTATGTTGTACTTGGCTTGAACTGGGTAATCGACCCCCTCCATGTTGATCTCATGTTCATGCTTTTTGTAGTGGTGAACACGTGGGTTAGCAGACCATTGGACAGGATGGAGTGCTGCCAACACCGACCACCAAAAACAATTTCTGGTCTTCATTTTGGATGTTAAAGGGCAACTAAACGGCCAAATAGACCATTTTGAAGGGAAATTACATCAAATGGTCAATTCGAAAATTCACTTCTAAGAGCTAGTTTTGCTTTTGTATTCGAG